GTGGTTCTTCAGGTTCTTCATGTCGGCGTAGGTCTTCTGGCAGGCGCCGCACTGGTAGGGGCGCAGGCCGGCGTGGATGCGCCGGTGCTTGCGGAAGACCGAGGGGTCGGCGAAGGCCTTGCCGCACTCCCCGCAGGTGTAGGGCTTCTCCCCGGTGTGGGCCCGCTGGTGGATCTTCAGCTTGGAGAGGGTGCCGTAGCTCTTGGCGCAGTGGGCGCAGGGGAAGGGCAGGTCGCCCGTGTGCCGGGCCATGTGGACCCGCAGGCACACCGGCTGCATGAAGGCCTTGCCGCACTCCTGGCAGAGGAAGGGTTTCTCCCCCGTGTGGCTGCGCCCGTGGCTGCGCAGCTCCGGCGCCGTCTTGTAGGCCTTGGAGCACTGCGAGCACTGGAAGGGGCGGTCGGCCGAATGGCTCAGCTGGTGCTTGCGCAGCTGAGCCCGGTCGGGGAACTCCTTGGCACAGCTGGGACAGGCGTGCTGGGCCGGGGCGGCACCTTCCCCCGGCGGCCTCCTCTTTCTCCTCTTCCGAGTCACCCTCCAACTTCACCACAATGCTCACCTCGGGCTCCTCCATCTTTGGGGGGGAGGGACAGGGGGCTGCTCCCTGAAAGAGAAGGCAAGGAAGAGTTATAAGGAGGGGCCAATATCGAGATCAACGCCTCTCGGGACATAGCACGGCGGCTGGGATGCTCTTTAGACTAAACTAGCCTCCTCTTTCTCCTCTTCCGAGTCACCCTCCAACTTCACCACAATGCTCACCTCGGGCTCCTCCATCTTTGGGGGGGAGGGACAGGGGGCTGCTCCCTGAAAGAGAAGGCAAGGAAGAGTTATAAGGAGGGGCCAATATCGAGATCAACGCCTCTCGGGACATAGCACGGCGGCTGGGATGCTCTTTAGACTAAACTAGCAAAATAGAATCCCACTTCTGCCACCAATGCAGCCACACAGGAACAGGAAGGCAGGCCAACCATTACAGCACCAACTGAAGGCTCAATGGATCTGGATTCAAGACTCTGCTCTGTCAAAGATTTCCTGAGTGACCCTTGTTACACCACTTGGTCTCTCTAGGCCTCAGTTTCCCCCTTTGCAAAAGGAGGTTAATAGGACTTTCTACCTCCCAGCAGGTTTGTGAGGATAAATATCTTAAAGATTGGGAAGGGCTGGTATTATAGTAGTGGGGAGCAGACAAGTATTTAAAATAGATAAACCAGGAAAGAATCATTCCAGTTGGCCTGCATGGAACACATATTCCAATACTTATAATGCCATGAACTCCTGTATTGTAGAACAGACCAACTGTTTATCATCCCACTGCTGACACCAACAGGCCAACTGGGAGCACTCCCATGCTGCAGAGACAGGGGCCATGGTTACACAGAGGGCTGACGGGGTTTTTATACACTCCTGTGGTTGTGAGTCTATTGTGAAGCACTTGTGAATAAGGACACGGGTTCAAAGGGAGGCCCACATGTGTTTTGCCACACCAAAGGGTGAATTCCTTCAAACCCAAGCAAATATAACTGATCTGTTTTTAAAGAGCTATCGGCCTTTTCTTTTATGGTGAAGAACCGTTATCGCACAAAGTGTTACTATTTTTGTAGGGCCTACAATTCTTCCAGAGTTAGCTAGCCAGCAGAGGGTTCACACATTCACAGGGGACAGAGGACAGTTGTCTCAGCATCCGGGGTTCTTTAACCGATTTCCTCTGCAGTTAAACAGAGTTTTACAGATGTTCTGTAGTGAAGATCAAGCACCGAGGTTTATGGGGCACTGATCCGTTCTCCCAAAGGGCTGAGGGACATCAGAATTAAGAGCTCCGGTCTATTTCCTCTCCTTGTCTTTGTGCCTTTCACCAGACAGATGCACTATTCCCCGCTAATCTCAATGGACCCGGCCTTGCCTCTGATATCGAAGGGACCACGGTGAGCATTTAATCCGACCTCCCGGCGCACACAGGCCTGAGAACGTCCTCAAAAGAATTTGTCCCTTCATCTTCATCGGCGGCGGCAGAAAATCCACCCGCGCCCTTGGTAAATTGTTCCAATGGTTAATCCTCCCCTCCCCACCCACACACACCCGGTCCAAAATGTCCAGCGTATTTTCCATCTGAATTTGTCTTCAACTTTCACCTACTAGATGCTGTTTGACCTCTCTCTGCCAGGCTAAGAGCCCCGTATTGGCTATTTTTGGCTACTCACAGGCTATGTCTACACTGGCGCAATCTTGCGCCAGAAGTATGCAAATGAGGCTAGGCGTGGAATATCACCGAGCCTCATTTGCATACCTAATGAGCCATCATTTTTGCGGAAGAGGCTCTTGCGCCAGGAGGAGCTGTCTACACGGCCCCGTCTTGCGCAAGAAAACCCTTCTTGCGCAATGCCGTTCTTCCTGAAAATAATCAGCGTAGCGGCATTGCGCAAGAGGGGTTTTCTTGCGCAAGACGGGGCAGTGTAGACAGCTCCTTCGGGCGCAAGAGCCTCTTCTGCAAAAATGGCGGCTCGTTAGGTATGCAAATGAGGCTCGGCGATAGTCCATGCTTAGCCTCATTTGCATACTTCTGGCACAAGATCGCGCCAGTGTAAACATAGTCACAGAGTGGGATCAAGTCACTCGTTTCTTTGTTACGAGGAACAGACTAGGTGTGAGGGCGTGTTGGGGTGTCCCCGTCTCCTGCACCCCCGGAGTGGCACGAGCAGACTCCACCGGCCGGTAGAATAGAGGGAGTTTATTGCTTCTTCAGGATACAGCACAGCACAGATGTAATCTGGTTACAGGAATGGGGGCTAGGAGTCCTCAGTGCCCTCCCTTGAGATGGGGGGTGGCTGGGCCCTACAATCCCAGCCCCCTCCCTAGCTCCTTCTCCCTGCTTCCCAGACAGAAACTCAAACCTGTCTTCCAGCCCTGCCCCCCAGCCAGGGCTGGCCTCCCCTCCTTCCTTTGTTTCTCTCCCCGGGAGGTAACTGGTCGGGCAGGTTGGGACCCTTGTCTAGTGACTCATCCCCTGTCCTGCTGGGCTGTGCTACAGACAACAGCCAGTGGGGGTCAAGCCTACAGTCCAAGCTTAGCAACCAGCAGGGTACCCCCACTACGTCACACTAGGGATGTAAGCGACACACTCAGCGACTAGTTGCTTCCCCCCCTTGTTGCCTCTCTCGGAAAGAGGCAACGGGGAGGGGACGGGGGGTAGAGAAGGGAGTGCTGGGGGGAACTGGCTAGGCCCCTTCTACATTTCAAAGGTGGAACGCCGCGCGGCACTTCCGTCTTTGAAACGAAGCAACAGCCGGGCGGGCTCTTGCTACATTCCAAAGCGGAAGCGTCCCTATCGACGTATCGAATCGTTGAAATTCCATCGACTAGTCGATCAGCGGATTCATTTTAACATCCCTAGAACAGACGGATCTCTTGGAGTCAGCCACTAGAGGGCGAGTTTGCATGGAAACGGGAAACAGCCGCCCCAACAGGGCCACGCAGAAGTCAAATAACCGCCCTGCTCCGATTTGAGATCGGCCTGTTTATCAGGATCGTGGCCGAAAGAGCCAACACGACCTTGCACGGGGGGCCCCTGGGCAACTGAACTTGACCCCTAAATCTTTTCCAACATCACCACCCCGTTCGTACGGCCTGCTCGCTCCTGGGAAGCCGTGACTCTGAAAAAGATGCATTTACATTTAGCTAGCTCAACACACGTTGGCTACGTCTAGACTACATCCCTTTTTCGTAAAAGGGATGCAAATTAGACGTATCGCAATTGCTAATGAAGCGGGGATTTAAATCTCCCCCGCTTCATTAGCATAAAAATGGCTGTTGCTTTTTTTCGGCACGGAACTTTGCCAGAGAAAAGCGCCAGTCTAGATGCGGATCTCGCGGAAAATAAAGCCTTTTCCGAAAGATCCCTTATTTCAGAGAGGGATAAGGGATCTTTCGGAAAAGGCTTTATTTTCCGCAAGATCCGCGTCTAGACTGGCGCTCTTCTCCAGCAGAGCTCCGTGCCGAAAAAAAGCAGCAGCCATTTTTATGCTAATGAAGCGGGGGAGATTTAAATCCCCGCTTCATTAGCAATTGCGATACGTCTAATTTGCATCCCTTTTCCGAAAAAGGGATGCAGTCTGGACGTAGCCATTATGTGCTTGCCCCAGCTTACCCAGCGAGCCAAATCGCTCTGTATCAGAGATCCCTTCTCTTCAGGACTTCCCAGTCCCCTCATTTTTATGCCCCTGGAAATGCTGTGGGTGAGGATTTTGTGCTTTCTGCCAGGCCAAGGAGAAAAAGGTGAAATAGCTTAGGGCCAAGAAAGGACCCAGACTTTAATAGGGTTAAAAAAGAGCCGGAAACATTCCTGGAGGTTAGGTCCATGAATGGTGTCCCTGGCCTCTGCCAGAGGCTGGGAATGGGGAGGGATCACTGGATGATTTCCTGTTCTGTTCACTCCCTCTGGGTACCACTGTGGGCAGACAGGACACTGGGCTAGATGGACCTTTGCTGTGACCCAGACTGGCCGCTTTATGTTCCCTGCAAGACCACGCTAGGGGCACCCTTCCACCGCAGCAGGGAGATTTAAGTGGGACGTCAGGAAAAACTTCCTGCTGTCAAGGTGGGCCAACACTGGGGCTATGTCTACACTCGCGGCTTCTTGCACGAGAAATATGCAAATAAGGCGATGCATGGAATATCGCTGAGCCTCATTTGCATACCTAATGAGCCACCGTTTTTGCAGAAGAGCCGCTACACCTCTTGCGCAATGCGGTTATCCCGGAAAATAATCGGCGTGACGGCATTGCACAAGAGGGTTTTTCTCGCACAAGAAGGGGCCGTGTAGACAGCTCCTTCTGGCGCAAGAGCCTCTTCCGCAAAAAGGGCGGCTCATTAGGTATGCAAATGGAGCTCGGCGATATTCCACGCTCAGCCTCTTTTGCATATTTCTCGTGCAAGACGCCGCACGTATAGACATAGCCTGGAATAAATTGCCTGGGGGGTTGTGGAATCTCCATCACTGGAGATATGTAAGAGGAGGTTAGACAGACACCTGTCAGGGTTGATCTAGACCAGGGCTTCTCACCGCATGCGGCCGAGAACCTGATTACTTGCGGCCCGCGGTGCAAGTTTGGGTTTACGTGGGACTCAGTGTGCGGCCCCCGGGCGGGAGCCAAAACAAAAAGTCGTCAATAGAATGGCCTTCTGTTGAGATGCGCTTTAGTAGTCAAATTCCTGGACTGTCGTTGCTCATCAAAAGTGCTGTCCTATGGGTGGAAATGGGGTAAATGTTGCATTTTATTAAGATCAGCAGAACTGACTTAAATGGGGCCTGCGTGCTGTGTAGACTTGCCTTCATCTTTGTATTCATGCCCATCAGTGTGCAAGAAGCTATTTGCATTTATTTGTATTTTTAATTTCATGTACATGCAACCACACTTCAGTTGTGGCCTTTGGCATGTGCTGTGAGTATAAGTGCGGCACCCGGGGCTTCCAAAGTTGAGTAGCCCTGATCTAGATGGTGCTGGGTCCTGCCATGACGACCTCTCGAGGTCCCTTCCAGTCCTAGTATTCTAGGATTTTGAGATCTCGCAGCTGTTCACGTTTTAAATCATTGCACCCGGGCCTTGTGCATTTGATAAACATTCTAGCTTCTTAATCCGACGTCATATGCTCCCCAGTCAAACCCCTTCCAGATGCCCAAAGATAGATCACATCAGTACGACTATCGGCATCAGCAAAACTTTGTCATCTCATAAAAACATTGTCTCAGCAGTGGTCCCCAACCTTTTGGGGCTGCCGGG